GGTTATAGTAACCTTGGACTGTCAGAAGGCCTTTGACACCGTGTGGACTCGTGGGCTAATACACAAAATGCTTGTGAATGATTTTCCCGTACATATTGTAAAAATAATACACTCATACTTAACGGACAGACAATTTTGCATTAAGATAAACTCCACAATAACAGGACCATTCCTAGCGCAGGCGGGAGTGCCCCAAGGCTCAGTACTTTCGCCGCATTTGTACACAATTATGACCTGTGACATACCCATGGGTGATAATGGTGTACAAACGGCGCTGTATGCCGACGACATCTGTTTATTTTCCAGCCATTCATCAGCACAAACAGCCACCAGGAAGCTGGACAGTCATATAAATGGACCGTTAATCACCTATCTAGATAGCAATAAAATGAAAATAAATCCGTTGAAAACCGAAAGTATCCTCATTACAAAGAGGCGGACCGAAGGCATAGACACGCCCCTTCGTGTGCAAAATGCACCAATCATTGCAAAGCCTCATATAAAATACTTAGGATTCTATCTGGATAGGGGATTAACGTTTCGCCAACATATTGTGGACAGGGTGACGAAAAACTGCGGTATTCTGAGGACTCTTTACCCCCTCATGAATAGACGCAGCGGAGTTACACTGTCTAACAAGATCTTATTATACAAATCAGTCTTTAGACCGATACTGACTTATGGCTGTCCAGTTTTCTGCTCCATGGCACAAATACATCATAATAAGCTACAAAACGCTCAAAACAGATGTCTGAGGCTAGTTCTGGGGTGCGATCGCTACACTAGAATACGAGACATGCACGCTACGACAAATATGCCATACATGAAGGACTTTATTACTTCAACAGCTGAAAACTTCTACGCGCGATGCCTCCCCGATGAGTTGAGGGATAGCATCATCAACATACATCGGGAAGACGGCGTGCGTAGAAAGCACGGTTGCCTTCACAAGTGTTTGAGCATATATCGACGACAATAACAGGACCCTCCACTGTGCATAACGTACTAAACAACAATTCACCCGATGTAGATACTTGCGAGATCTAGTCGGACGGACGACTGAACGGTGGAGCCGACTGACAGCGCCACAGCCGAGACGCTGCATGATTTAGTTAAACACATTAATTTCTTAATTCAACTAGAGAAAAATAAAAAGTGGAATGAAACCCTAGAAGCGGTCAACCCCCGAGACAATTCAGTGTGGAAAATTGCGAAGCATTTTACAAAACCATACTCGCAACTTCCCACACTTGAATCAGGACAGGACAAATACGCAACAAATGACGAAAAAGGTCAGGCACTCGGCGAATACTTTCAGAGCATATTCACGAATAATTCAGCCAACAATCCGGAACAAACCAGAATAAATAACCTAGTACACGATCGGTATAAAAACACCCCACCAATAATAATAACACAAGCGGACCTCACTACTCCAAAAGAGGTTCACAGCATTCTGTGTGGACTAACCAGAAAGAAGGCCCCTGGACCTGACGAAATCAGTAACATTTTATTAAAAAACTTATCAAAAAAAGCTATCGTCCAATTACATCACATAATTAATGGGGTGATTAAACTCCAATACTACCCCAAATCACTCAAAACAGCCGATATCATCCCCATACTAAAAACCAAGAAAAATGCAAAATTCATAGAGAGCTACAGGCCGATATCTTTTATAAATGGCATAGCAAAAATCATAGACCGAGTTATTCTTACGAGACTACAAAACATAGCAAATGACAACAACATAATACCGCAGGAACAGTACGGATTCAGACAGGGTCACAGTACTGTTGCACAAATCATAAACATAGCGCACCAAGCTAAAAAAGCTTTCAATAACAAAAAACAAACAGTACTCGTGGCCCTGGACACTGAAAAAGCATTCGACACGGTCTGGACCTGCGGATTAATACATAAAATGATTGTGAACAACTATCCTGAGCACATTATAAAAACAATCTACTCATATTTGAATGACAGAAAATTCTACATAAAAATACAGAACTACAGGACAGGACCATTTACAGCTGTTGCCGGAGTACCCCAAGGATCAGTACTCTCGCCGCATCTGTACACGATTATGACACACGACATGCCAATGGGTCATAATGGCGTACAGACGGCATTGTACGCCGACGACACCTGTGTTTACAAAACCTCAACTTCTGCAGAAATCGCCACAAGAAGATTGGACATCCATATCAACAGAACGTTAGTCCCCTATCTTAATGAAAACAAGATGAAAATCAATCCCACAGAAACAGAGAATACTCTTCTTTCCCAAAGAAAATCAGACGGGGTCATAACAAATCTCAGGGTTCAAGGTCAAATAATCGAGACCAAAAATAGTCTAAAATATCTAGGTTTTCATCTAGATAGGAGACTAACGTTCAGAAAACACATCAACGACCGTATCGCTAAAACTACCGGCATGATACGGACTTTATACCCTATGCTGGCGCGGACCAGCAAGGTAAGTCAAAAAAACAAACAACTGCTCTTCAAGCAAATACTTCGCCCGATACTGACTTATGGATGTCCGGTCTTCTGCTCCATGGCAGAAACGCACTTTCGCAAACTTCAAATTACACAAAACAGGTGTCTGAGGCTAATCCTTGGATGTGCAAGGGACACCAGAATCACAGAAATGCATGAGAGAACAAACATTCTTCCTATTAAACAATACATAACTCAATTATCTGAGAAATTCTACCGAAACTGTCTTCCTCCGCGTCTCAAGGAAGACATAAACCAGATCACTAGGGTAAATAATTCAAATAGGAAGCATGTTTGGATCCATGAAAACCTCACTATATACAATCGTTGAGACAATTACAAAAATAAAGCACAAGAATGACAATCAGAGCATGTATGATTACCTTGCAATATCCAAAGCTGACTGAATCTAAAATTCGAGAAGCGTCCGACTATATCAGACGGTGGGCGGGGCCTAGACCCGAGGAGATCGGCCATTGGTTGAAACCTCGGACCTATGAACGGCCTTCAATCTGATACAGTCTGTGGATATTGCATACAACGAACCATAGACTATAACGAACACACACACACACTTCAGAACCCTGTTTTTTCACAACTTTTTCAGGGAAAAATCAGACATAATTAAACTCACACACAACACACAATCAAATCACTAATTGCGAACAGCATCACAGCTCAAAACTGCTTAATTATATCGATCTGATAGGGAGTAAGCAAGGCAGCCAAAACTGGGAAACATTACAAGCTGCTATTGGGCACGAACATCAGCCAATCCCCGCAAGGATTCAGAAGGAAGAATATTATGTTTTATTTTATTGTTATTATTTCATATATTATTTTTTCTTTTTATAAATGGAGCTTGTAAATGTAATGTAGATAATGTATATATTGAATAAAGGATTTTTAAACTGAAACTGAAACAGCCGAGACGATTCCTGTCGATAGTTCTGCGAATCCACGCTAATTGATTTCGTGTTTACATAGTGACATCTGTCAAATTAACAATTTTCCTTTTTTCTAACGTTTATCCCTAGCCAGTGTGAGTATAGCATCCCTATTGGGAACAGGACCAAGATAGAGCCCGAAGGGGCACCCATAATAGCCGCAGAAGGCTTCGAAACCCTCTATACCAAGAGATTGAAAAACAGATGCCGGGTTGACACGGAGGCCATCCAAAAAGTAGCTAAACTGAGCACCCCAAGGAAGTATAAGTCCAAATTGAAGCAAAACTTACCATACACAGTAAGTACAGACTGTGTGACAACTAACCTAACACCTGGGGTCAATTGTACCACCCAGGAGGACCCCCTGGTCAAAATTTCTCTGGATCGACCTTCAGATGACCCTCAAAGTCTTGAAAGCATAAACAAAGAACAAAACGACCCAGCAACAGGGGATACGGGCTCCCCAAAGCCCTCCCTTGCGGAATCTGAGGAAATGGAATTCCATGATAGCCAGGATTCTCTGGATAGCACAAATAGTCCCAATGAGGACAAAACTAATAAAAATGAGGACAAAGACGTCCAAAATTTGATCAACATCCTAGAAAAATCTACTGACTCGACCCAAAGCACTGACAATGCGATGGACACGACAGTAGTTGAAAAAGTGACAAATGAAACAGAGGTTTTGACCAAGGAAAATGAAAACTTTATATCAGACTATGAGAAGACTGATAATATACCTAAGAAGGTTACTAAAACTCTCCCTCTACCGTCTAATGTAATAACCACCCTATTAGATTTCAAAACGAACGATTTCAGCGGTAATCTTCCTCCATTCATACCTTATAAACCGACTTCCGGGGTAGAAAGTGGCCAGAAAAGGGATGGATCGAGTAGTTCCTCGACTGGACATTTTTCTATCCCACCAGTCCCAAATCCCGAGGTAATAAACTCGAATATCCCACGAGACCCCAGAATACCCCCCTCCCCAAGAACTAGATCCCTTTCTGATCCTAGACTAAGGAATAGAGACGTACCGCCAAGTATTGTAAATAATATCCTACACTACGACAGTCTAACCTCTGAAGAGGAGAATAGAGGAGCTATACCGAAAGATAAATTCGATTATCTACCACACTCACCTAATAGCTACTTTGAGAGCAGAACACAAACTCAAAGGGAGCAATATTTATTGGAGCAGCAACAACTAGCTGAACAAGAAGCAGCTAAGAAAAAGGAAGATCCCTTTATTCTGCCCAAAAAATTCAGCTCGAATTTTACCAAACTTATCAGAGAAAAATCGAAAAAGACCTTAACGCCGACAAAAAACGCTTTTCAAGTCTTAACTGATGATTCTGACAGTGAACTGGAGGATGAAATAGGGAAGATAGTCAAGAAACGGAAGAAGGGGCAGAAATTCGTTCCATTACAAATAGAGGATAAAAAAATCTACCTCCCAAAACTCTATCAAATGATACTAATAAGACAGCAAATAACTCAGAAAAGAATGCCTCAGCCTCCAAATCAAGTACCAATAAAAACAAGACAGTAATGCCCCCAATTGTTATTGATGGCAAAACATCTAACCAAAAAGCGCTAATTCAGGATCTAAAAAGTATAGTCAAGGGAGATTTTAGCCTTAAACATACCAATTACACGACTATACTATTCGTTGAAAATAAGGATGATCACACTAATGTAGTTAAAAATATGAAAGATGAAAAAATGTCATACCACACTTATACTCACAGGGATGACAAATCTCATGCCTTCGTGCTACGAGGCTTAGCCGAAGGCACGAAAATAAATGACATAGAGGAAGAACTCGAGGAAGAGCACGAGATCAAACCAAGGGCGGTCTATCAGATGAAGACTAAAGAGCGGCCCCTATTCCTGGTAGTAACGGACCCTGCGATAACTCTGGAATACTTAAACAGAAATACGAGGAGAATTTTACACACCAGAGTTACGTGGGAACTCCGTAAGTCCTCTAAACAGATTATACAGTGCCACAACTGCCAGCAGTGGGGGCACGCGACCGCCAATTGTGGGAGACCCTCCCAATGTGTAAAATGTGCAGGGGATCACCACACGAGAACATGCGTGAAAACACGTGACACGCCAGCCACGTGTGTCAACTGCGGGGGTGATCACCCTGCTAACTTCACAAAATGTAAAGCCTATTTGGACAAACTGGACAGACTTGAAGAAAGGAGGCCAAAACCGAAACCAAAAATGGTTCCGGCGCCGCCTCCAGCGATAAATTACTGGAAGAACAGAAACTCAAATCAGAACAATGCTAGCGCACACCAAGAAGAATTCCCAGAATTACCAAAAAACCATAAAAGAGACAATGATCCGCAGCAAGTAAGAAGAAGTACTCCTCCAACGCCAAACGGGGCCATGAACGACATTACGGCCTTAAATGCAGAACTAGCAACTCTACACAGGTTAGTCAATATAGGGGAGCTAACAAGAGCAGTTAGAGCGCTTAACGCTAAACTTTCAGAATGCCATTCAGGCCAAGAGATATTCGAAACTACTTATAATCTTTTCATGACGAATATAGACGTAAATTTCAAACTTAGGAACTGAACTCTTGGAACGAGACTCACAAAAACTCAAAGTATGTTTTTACAATGCAAATGGGATGCGTAACAAAGCTTCTCTTGTGCGCAGTTTCATTCATAAACATAAATTCGACATAATACTCATAACAGAAACTCACTTTGACGTAAACCAAAACTTTAAAATACAGAACTACAATGTAATAAGGCACGATCGGCCTGATCAACCAGGGGGTGGGGTAGCTTTCATCATCAGTAATAAAATACCATATAGAATAGAGAATCAATTAAATATTTCCCAAGAACACCTGATAATTAACATTAACAATATAATGTTTGTTGGTGCTTATAATCATCCTTGTAATAAATTACTAAAACAAGAACTAAACATTATTATGTCATCGGGAAACAGGGTAATTTTGCTAGGAGATTTAAATGCCAAACATCCCTCCTGGGATTCAAATTGTATGAGGGCAAACCCCAGTGGAAAAAACCTGAATGAATTCGCCGATGATAACGACCTAATAATCCATTATCCTGAAGATCCCACCCACTTTCCTTTCTCCGGCAATACCCCTAGTACCCTGGACATTGCCGTAGCCAAAAATATCCCCAACATTGACAACACAAGGACCGTTAAGACACTTACCTCTGATCATGACCCTGTATACTTGGAAATAATGACCTCACGCATAATTCCGAGGATACAGGGTCATTATTATGACTACAAAACGACAAACTGGCAGACATTCAGAAAAACGTTAGACGACAACATTACTATTACAAATAACATAACGGACAAAAATTCTCTTGAGGAAGAATTCATAAAACTTACCAAAATAATCCTACTAGCTAGAGAAAAATCTACAAAACTCATTAACAGGAAACCATACAAAGATGATCTTCCTCAAGAGATTTTAGACATGATAAAAAACAAAAACTTATTACGAAGACGATGGCAGACTGACAAGACAGCCGCTGACAGGGCTAGACTTTTAGAAATTGGCAAAAACATCAACGACTTAATAAACGAACATCGTAACAATGAATGGCGGAAGACCCTGGAAGCGGTAAACACTCAAGACAACTCAGTGTGGAAAATTGTAAGGAAATACAGAAAACCTACCTCACAGCTTCCCACACTGAGACATGACAATAACACATACAGTACAGACGATGAAAAAGCCTCAGCCTTCGGCGAATTCTTTCAGGCTAATTTCATAAATCCACAACTAAATAATGAAAATCAACAAAATATAACAAACTTGGTAAAGGACATAAAAAATATGAACATTGATGAAATTCCTCAAAACCTATTCACTTCTCCGAAAGAGATCTGTGAAATAATCAAACGCACGCGCAGTAAAGTTGCCCCGGGTCCCGATGACATACATAACAAACTGCTGAAAAATCTCTCGAAAAAAACAATAGTACACCTGCACTATTTGATTAATGCTATTATAAAATTGCAGTGGTACCCCAAAGCACTGAGAATCGCAAATGTGGTGCCTATTTTAAAATCAGGGAAGAATAAGGGTGAAATTGGAAGCTACCGCCCCATTTCTCTCTTAAGTGGCATAGCCAAAATTGTTGATCGTGTCTTATTAACAAGACTACAGACATACGAACAAAACAACCCTATTATTCCGCCAGAACAGTACGGTTTCAAAGCCGGACACAGCACGATAGCACAAATAATTCGCATCACTCATCATGCCAAAAAAGCATTTAATCAGAATATGCAAACGGTGCTTGTAGCTCTCGATGCTGCTAAGGCTTTTGATACCGTCTGGACTGACGGATTAATATACAAAATGTTTATGAATGACTACCCTGTTTCCATTGTGAAAACAATACAAACATATTTACATGACCGTAAATTCTACATTAAAATAAATAATACTAAAAGTGGACCCTACACTGCGCAAGCGGGAGTACCCCAAGGTTCGGTACTTGCGCCGCATCTGTATACCATTATGACCGATGTACATATGCCAATGGGACACAATGGTATACAGACGGCCTTGTACGCTGACGACACTTGCATATTTAAATCGTCAGATTCAGCTGAAATTGCAACAAGGAGACTGGACATCCATATCAACCGAACGTTAGTCCCTTACCTAAATGAAAATAAAATAAAAATAAACGCTTCAAAAACTGAAAGTATTTTACTTACAAAGCAAAGAAGAAACCCAATAATAACTAGCCTAAAAGTACAAAAACAAACAATACAAGCAACAAAGAAACTGAAATATCTAGGTTTTATATTGGATAAGGGGCTAACGTTCAAAGATCATATACAAGATAGATATGGGAAAACTATGGGAGCATTTAAATCCCTGTATCCCATGCTTCACAAAAGAAGTGGGGTTACAGTGAAAAACAAACTACTACTTTACAAGCAAGTACTTCGCCCAATATTAACGTATGGATGCCCAGTCTACTGTTCTATGTCCGAAACTCACTACAAGAAACTTCAAATTATGCAAAACAAGTGTCTGAGGCTGGCATTGGGATGCGATCGCTATGCCAGGATTAATGACATGCATGTACAAGCATCCATAGAACCTATCAAACAGCACATTATCAATCAATCTAATAAATTCTTCACGCATTGCCTCCCTAACTCAGTGTTAGAGGACATTTGTACACTTTATGAAGGGGATGGTGCAATCAGGAGACATGGATGTTTGCACAGTGCATTGACAATATACACACGAGACAGATAGACGGGAAATCAACGTACATTCCTCCTTAACAACAATACAACACTGAATAATCAAATCACAAAACCGACTTCTTGACAAAAGTAGTCGGACGGACGACTGCACGGTGACGTCATCGTCCAGTTGCAGGAGCTTGGGCTTGCCTAGGTATTTGTGCTGGACGGGGAAATCACTGTGTAGTCAAGTGATTTGATTAAACATGCACGTAAACAACCACCCGACGTACACACATACAAGGACAACCCTGTTTTTTCAGAATAATTTTTCAGGGAACTTAAACATAATTAAAATCAGACAAAAACTTCAACACTTATCAATTATTGTCTTGTTAGCCCCTTTAAATTGACCTATAATGCTGTTCCAGCAAGGAGATGTCAATCTAATCCAAATTAAAACAAATTATATGGATGCATAAGGCCGTAACATCGGTACTGGCCTCGTAAGGGGTCAAAAGGAATACTTCGGCACTCCGTAAGCGCGAAGAAATCCTTATATTAAATGTACAATTATAATTTGAACTGTAAATAGATTTTAATGTAAATAAAAGACTTTTGAAATGATGATGAATGACGATTCCTGTCTCGACGTGAAGCAGTGAAGGTTCAGCGTGACAACAATAAACGTTAACCTTTCGTTGTTTGTGGGATATAAGTTTTTTTTATTGTCTTATTTGGCAATATAAATAGTTCTATACCCAGTGTGTGTGTTCTTTCAAACCTCAGAACCCATCTTAACATCGAACCACTTCATCTGGCCCCAACGAGTGGCGAGGGAAAGCGACATATTTGGGTATTGTGAATGAAAATCAACGTTGGCGTTAGGCGTTTGCTGAGACTGTACAAAGAAGAACCGACTAATCTTCGGAAATCTGGGTGAGATTTTTCCATTTTTTTTACTGTTTTTCTTCGAGAGATCGACTGATTAATAGATCAATACAAGGAACTGTATATTATATTATAAACAATGCCGAGAAGGAGGAGCAAAGCTAGTGACGAGGCGCACAATGGTGATTTATCGGACGTTAACAATAAAATTGAAAATTTAGTTATAGGTTTAGCAAGTCTACAACAAACTGTTTCTAATTTAGCTGAAAGTTTACAAACTATAAATAATAGAACTAGTGGAAATCAACCAGAACACGACGAGAGCAAAATAAATAATCCAAATCTAACAGTTTTATCCGAGCCTGTACACTCTTTGGCGGTACAGTCAAATAATAAATCATACATCTCTCATTGGCGTGATCTGGGGGGTGGAAACTTAACTTTTTATCCGAACTCCAAGGTTCATCCCATGACATTTTTAAAAAAACTAGATAAAATTTTTATTGAAGCGAGTGTACCCGAGGAATGTAAAAACAGTCTTGCTATGACTTGTCTCAGAGGCGCCGCAGCCGACTGGGCTTCTCTTAAAGAAGAAACATTTAATAATTTCAGAGATTTTCAAGATGCTTTTGTAAGTAGATTCTGGGGGGTAGATAAACAACGAGAATTGTACCTAGAATTAAACTACGGTCGCTTTGAGCAGGGTGAAAGGGCCGAATATTTTTTGAATTTAATATCGCAAGCAAATTTTCTAACGGAAACGATCCCGTCTTATAAATTGATCGAGATGGTTTCCAAACACTTTCCGGCGGAAATACAACGCGGAATTATCACAAGCGGATTCGCGACTATTGAGGAAGT